AAAGGGAGCAGCATTCCCAGGGAAAGCCAAGTTAAAACAGAAAGGCTAAAGGACACGTGAGGGGACTTGTGACTTGCAGGCTCGACTTTCAGAGGTCAGAGTGGAGGGCTCGCTTGGGGTGAGAGGGGTATTAACAGCAACAAGGCCAGCCCTTCTGAAAAGCCCGGGCCCAGATCTGTACGTGTATTTACTCGTTTAGTGCATTGGGTGCTGTACAGAGTCCATAAAGGTGTGTTTCTGTACAGGAAATTTGAGAGTAAGTGATACGTGGTTTGATTTTGTAATGGTGATAGAATGTGTTACATAGTTTGGGGAGACTGCAAGTCAGCGCATGGGGTGATGGGAAATCCTCGGTGCCAGTTCTCCATGATGATATTTGTGGGCAACAAAAATCACATAAAGATTATTAAAGTTATTGGGCTTGAAATCAGAACTGAGTTCAGGTGCCAGTACCAATCACTCATTATTTGACCGGGGGAAAATCTGCATCTGAGTTGGTTTCAATTGCTGCATCTGAAAATCAAGCGAAGTTGAGGATAAGTTGAGGATGGTGTCCTGAGAGAAAAATCACCAAATACATTGTGGAACACTTCAGTGCTAAGTGTGACAGCTTAGCACTGTGCTTAAGGAAAGAAGATCTGTGCTTAAGGAAAGAAGACATTTGACAACAAATGAGTACAAATGACTTAGAATGAGGTCACAGAGACAAGTGTATAAAGCTACTCTAACAAGGCCCTCCCTGCTGGTGCAAGGGGTTAATTCTAGGCTGCTATCAGCAGCCTCTGCAGCATGAGTTCAAACCCTGGCCAGGGAGCTGACCCACATGGCACAGCAGATCTCTCCTGACCTGCCCACTGCTCCCCTCAGCAGTGTATTTCAGTCGGTCTGCCTGTTCTGCTCCCCACTCTGTCTCTGGTGAACACTCTCCCCTCCCCCCACACACACACACTTCTGGCCTACACCCTACTTCCTGTATGCAAAAATGAATGTCTTTTAAAAAATACTCTAACAACCCAGGCATGGTGAGTAAGGGCTGAGCTAGGGTGGCAGCTGCAGCAATGGGAGAAGTTATGGAGAAGCTATGGGAGAGACTGGTTAGAATTAGGTCTCAGTACAGTCTCTCAGCTACTTTTCCAGACAGGGCTGGTATGTGGTAGGATGGTGTGTGCTTCAGTATAGACCATAAAAGGAGCAACTAGCAACAGTCCTCTAGGAGCAAGGACTTAACTCATTGAGCCACTGTGACCCACCCATTTACCCAAGGCCCACTTGACACCATGGTTGCCTTTCAGGGCCAGGATGGGTGGAAGGGGTAAGGTTTGAGTGTGCATCAAAGCTAGGTTAAAAGCCCATTCAACCTGCTCTCTAGTTTTAGCATGTTATTTAAGCCTTTGTTTCCTTACCTGTGAAAAAGGGACATTCATGATATGCGTATCTGATCCATGATCCACATTGTAAAGATTAATTAAATGTGATTACATATTCCAAGTGTGTAGCCTGGAGTTTAGTGAGCATTAGGAGCTTTCAAACAGTAGATACTAAATACTAGACACTAAACCTATTCAGAAGCCAATAAAATGCAGAGTCCTAAGTAGTGGAACAGCAGGGACTATGTAGGGAGGGATTCAGTGAGGGACTGGAGGAATTACAAATGTCAGAAATAACCCTAATCAGAAGCTGGGATATACCTTCAAGTTTCCTGTTAGCGAAGACACATTTCTTCTCTCTTGTAGTAAATCTCTTCGGTCTAATTCATACAACTGCTGCTTTTCCCTATGGCTTAGTTCTGCTTCAGTGGCAAAACTCAGACATACAGCTCACATTTCTGCTCAATGGTAGCTTTTGGGATCCAGCTTCTTGTGGCTTCTGGGGGACTTTTGTCTTGAGTACGCAATGACTGCCCATGTTTGGTGGAACAACATCACTAAAAGCCGTCTCTTGGGGGGAAATGTTTGAGCTATGCAGGCTATGTGCTTGTCAGAGACCAAGGGCACGCAACCTGGAACATCTTTAAGCCCAACGCGGGGAGGCAAGGAAGTGCCTCAGACAATAACAGGAAGAGTTTGTCTAATTTCCTTGCTCTTAGGTATCCTGTATATGGGGGCCCACCATCAGTATTTGTAATTTTTTTAAAGATTTATTTATTTATTCATATAGAACAGGAGTACAGTTCTATATGAATAAATAGAGGGTGAGAGGATTCACCAGAGACAGAGCAGGGAACAGAACAGGCAGATCGACAAAGTACACTGCTGAGGGGAGCAGTGGGCGGGTCAGGAGAGGTCTGCCACGCCATGTGGTCACCTCTGGGGCAGGCGGGCATCGAACTCATGAGGAAGTGGCTTTAGCTTCTCAGTGCTACGCTTTAACCCATTGCGCCACCAGGGAGGGCCACTGTATTTGTAATTTTTAAAGCATTCATAGAAAGGAGTGTGGAACAGAAAGAACTGAGATACTCTGGGCTCTTCATGTAAACAGACACATGTACTTGTCCTGAAAGAAATGTGTCCCTAAGGGTTGGAGTGATAATGCCAAATTCTGTGCCTAGCATCATTTGATTATTACTGAAACTGGATATCATGGTTTCCTTCTAATATCCCATGAAGAAAATAAAGCCCTTTGCACACTGTCTCAGTCAGGATGGGTGAAGTTATACTGAGATGTCAAACGGTATCCAAAAGCTCTTGACTCAGCACAAGGTTGCTCGCTCTTTGATTTTTCTCAGGCAGCCACCCTCCCAGTGTTCCAGGCTGCCTCAAGGTGTAGCTTGTCAGATCTGCCTATACTCCTAAATCCTTGGGAGGACTGCGTGGGGGTTACTTGGGGGTCCCTGTGAGAGGTAAAGAGGATTATTGGGGAACTATAGGGAGGTAAGGAGTTCTGTAGGTAAAGGGTTGAGAGGACTGTGAGGAAAGGGGTAGTGTAGGGGGAGGGGGAGGGGGTATGAAGAGACTAGTGAAGGACTGTTGAGGTGGACTGTGGTGGTAGGGGAGGGAGGGCTTTGTGGGGACTGTGGGAGCAGGGGAGCTGGGAAGTGGGGTAATGGAGCAGTAGGAGGTTTGGAGTGTTGAGCTGCCCCAGTCTTAGCCTTCACAGCAAGTCGCATGCCCATGATAAACTTCAAGGGCAGGAAAATGTGTTGGTGAATATTCCTGGGGTCAAGGAGACTGAAGCAGCCCTCCCCAACAATTCTTCAGAAAATCTTTTTAAATTTTCTTGTATTTAAAATGAAATGTTATTTCCTTTACGGGGAAGCAGAGGCGTTCTTTAATTGTGTGCAGTGCCCAGAATCTTAAGGATCTTCTCAAGTTCTTTAACCATTGCTTTTGACTTTGAAATACATGGTTTGACTAGAAATCTTCTTATCTAAAAAATATCAAAAAAAAAAAAGGAAAGTTTTATTACTTAAGATGCTATGTTCCCCATGTGGAATCTTCTCTGTTAGTTTTATACCAAGTTCTGGGATGTGGATTGCACTATGGAGGTGAGTCCTTATTAAAATAAACACACTTGAGTATCTGTAGCTTAAACCCAACTGGATAGGATCAAAAATAGTCTCAGATTCTGATGGTTTTAAATATACAGGGCAAAAAAAAGCACTATTTAGAAAAGCTCTAGTCTGTTTCTGAGGCATTCATCACCTAAATAACAGCTAGAGTTATTGAGTTTTTACTAGTTAATTTATTGAGGTGAGGTACTTTGCATCTAGGTCTCATTTAAATTTTTTAACGTTGTAAGAGATACACGTTTATGCCCTCATTCCAAACACAGACTGGAGAGGTCATCTATCTCTCCTAGATCATCACAGACCAAAGTTTAATCCGAGACCATCTGTTTCCACAGCCTTCACACTTGACTGTTACCCTAAACTACCTCATACATTACCTGAAAACAGGTCTTAAGGGAAATGAATAAGGATTCTCTGCACCTTGATTCCAATGTGAAGGCATGTAGAAGCTCCCCCACGCCAACAAGCAATTTTCAGACATTAGCACCACGTCCAAGAATTCAGCTCAATTTTGTCTACTCAGAGACAGCACCAAGTTCCTCAGGCAAAGGGCTCAGTTTCCCACAGCGTCTTCTGCTTCCGATGTCAGTTGCCAGCTCAGGTTGTTAACTAGGCTTTTGACCAGCCAGTTACAGACAGATTCCTACCATCCCCCTTCCTCAGACTTCAGACACCAATGCATGTCAAGCAGTTACCTGTGCTTCTAAATCAGAGGCTCCTGGGGGCCCCCACCCCAAGGTCAGTTGTTTTGCTAATGTGGCACACAGAGCTCAGGAAACTTGGTACTCAACAGGTCACCAGTTTATCTCAAGGGATTAGAATGAACAGCAAGATGGAAGAAATAAATAGCTGCTTCTGTCTTTGTGGAACTGGGGACCAGCAGAATGTCTGAGAATTCAGCTCAATTCTGACACTGTCTACCCAGATCACATGGAAGTGCTCTGGTTCCTCTACCAGGAAGATCTCTGGAGCAGCCCCTTTTTTGGGCTTTTGGGGAGACTATTGCTTAGACATTGCTGCCTTTGGCAACTGAACTCAAACAAGAACTGAAAACCCCAGCTCTCCACCAGGCTGGCTCTCCAGCCAACTAGTTCCCTTTCTTAGGAGCTTCCCAGAAAGTTTCCTCATTAACATAACAAGGGACACCTTAAACACTCACCACACCGGGAAACCTCAAAGATTTGGGGCGATGTGAGCTAGTAATGTTATAGGGCAGCAAAGGGACCACCCAGTTACAGTAACTGTCTGTGAAAACCAAGTATATAGGTCCTCTGAATGCCCAGTATGCACTTTTCTTTAAATCACAATATTGTGGGCAGATCTGCAGTCTTTATAGAAACAAGTGCTCTCAAATGCAGCACCCTGATCCCCAGGTCCTACGATGTAGCCAGGGGGCCTCAGAGACCCTCCGGGTCCCCACTGTGGACGTGGCTGTGGCTCTCCTGCAACCCTGACACTAACCAGCAATCTGCATGTTTCTTGTGTCTTCCAGTTGACCGTCCTCCCATGGAACCCTCCCAGTTTGTCTCAGTGCTCCCCAAGTATCCAGACAAGATGGGATTCGATGAGGTAGGGAAGGGGTCTGTGTGCCTGTGTGCCACGTGCTTATGTGTTTACATCGGAGAATGAGCCTGAGCACTCATCTGAGAAAAGGCCCGAGTCTTGGAAATCTATTGGCTTTTTGGCTTGCGCCTCAATTTTCTTATGTGAAGAAGGACCATGGTCAAAGCACATCATTCATTGAGTCGGAAAGAAGTGACTATTTAGTAATGTAAGTGAGTTGATATTTTTAGTAGCAGGCACTGCCATATTTTATCAACCTTTTCATCAAGAAATGAGAGGGGGGTCACAGAAGATTTTTGTCGTAGAACTGGAAGGAAGGTGGAACTGTGCTGAAATACTATAGTTTTTGTTTTGTTTCTCTCTCTCTTTCTGCTGCTCTCCCATGGGAAAAAAAGGTTGGAGAATACAGTTGAGAAGACAAAGAAAAAAAAGGAAAAAAGGAAATCTGTTCTAAAATTCCCCATTTCAGCAGACTACTTTCTATTATGTATTCCTATTGTATAAAGAATAAAGCTGAGAGATGAAGAGATACCTCTCTTGGTTATATACTCAACAGACACTTGACAGGACCAGAATTGTGACTCCAGGTCACTGAATCCTGTAGGTAGCAGGCAAACTTAGGATCATCCCAGATACCCCTAGGGGGATTTTACTATCTGCCACATAAAAACAAAGCAAACTCCTGTGCTCTTCAGCCCCATGAGTTTGCTTTATTGTTATGTGGCTGATAACAGAATCCCTTTAGGGCATTACAACTGAGATAAAAAAAATATACAGGCCCTCCCTGGTGGCCCAGCGGGTTAAAGCACTGCACTAAGAAGCTTAAGCCACTTCCGCATAGTTTCGATCCCTGCCTGCCCCGGAGGTGATCCACATGGCCAGGCAGACCTCTCCTGACCCGCCCGCTGCTCCCCTCAGCAGTGTGCTTCATCCATCTGCCTGTTCTGCGCCCCACTCTGTCTCTGGTGAATCCTCTCACCCTCCGCATCTCTGGTCTGTACCCCAGTTCTGTACGAATAAATAAATAAATCTTTAAAAAAAAAAATATATATATATATACAAAATGAAGAATGATGTGAGATACACACGCCACACACACACACATATACACACATATATTATTTAAAATATCAAAATAAAAAAGCGCAAACTTTTAGTATTCAAGATCTTTAATAGAATGACTGTAGATAGGGAAGAAGAGAAACGCCCAAAGTTACCCATTCCCTAGCGGGTAATGCCCAATCAAACAGGGTTGGGCCAAAACAGGGCTGTTGAGGCCTGAAAACTTGCCACAGTCTAAGGCACTTTCTGACGGGGACCCATAGGAAAGGGACAGAGGAGCCAGACATATCGTGGACGAAAAGGGCAAAACTAATGTATCAGTCAAGATAAAGGCTGCCATTGTCAGTCTCCCATGTGTCTCTTATATGTGTCTCTATGTGGTTTTGTTACAGGGTAGAAAGAGGGGCACCCCAAAGGCCCTAAACCTGCCTGCACTAAATAGGTTCTGCCATCTGCCACATCAACACAAAACATGTAAGACCTGTAATGGAAAGGAACTTTAACACAAGGTGTGCAATACAGAAAAGACAAAGAATATAGTGTCTAAATCAAACACCCAAAGTTACCCCTCCCCTTGTGGGTAAAAGTCCACCCAAAAGGGATTGGCCCAAAGCAAGGCCTGAAAGCCCGCCACAAACCTAAAGCACCCTCTGGCCAGGACCCATAGAAAAGGGTCAGCAATGGCCAGACAAGTCTGGGAGGAAAAGAGCACCATCAAAATCAAGATAAACACTGCCATAGTCAACCTCCCCACAGTCTCTCACCCACATCTGTGTCAACCAGTTCAGGGCCAAGAAACAAGAGCTGCTTCCTCTCATGTCTCTGATCTGTGTACCTCCCTCAGGTCTCCTGCCTCGCCATCCTGCTTCCTTCCTCCTCAGTCTCCTCTCTAGGTTCTTCTCCTCCCTGCTCAATTCCACCCTCCCCTGGGTGGGGCAGGGAATCTGGAAACCCCCTTTTCCTGGGGACCACCCTGTTAAAATTTGACTCCATGTGTCTCTTCCACGTCTCCCAAGTCCCTAGTGCAAGTCCAAAACTGAGAAGCAAGCCTGCTGTCCTTCACAGGTCTTTCTGCTCCAAGTGTCTCCTTCTTCTGTGTCACCTCCAAATCTTCTATACCATCATCTGACACCTCATCTCTACCCCCTATTAGGTGGGGCAGGGAAACTGGAACCTTCCCTTTTTATGGAATGCCTCTGCTGAGGCAGGACTCAGAAGCTGCATGGTCTAAAGATGAGGAGAGTGTCTCAGGAATCCACAAACTGACCATTTTTCCACAGATTTGGGGTGCATTAGGGGTCAGGCTCTGCTCAGTGCTTAGTACCACGGTGCATAGTTTACCACCTGGTACCATATAATACTGGCCTTCAGGGTACAGCCCCTCAAAGAGCTGCTGGAATTGGAATTTTTGTCTATAAAATTGATTTGAACCTGGGCTCTGGCAGCCTGTAAGGATGGTTCTTAAACATTAAATACAAGGCCCTCCCTGGTGGCACAGCGGGTTGAAGCACAGCACTGAGAATCTAAAGCCGCTTCCGCATGAGTTCGATTCCCGCCTGCCCCAGAAGGTGACCACATGGTGTGGCAGACCTCTCCTGACCCCCCCACTGTTCCCCTCAGCAGTGTACTTCGTTGATCTGCCTGTTCTGTTCCCTGCTCTGTCTCTGGTGAAGCCTCTCACCACCCCTGAGCCTCTGGCCTGTACCCTAGTTCTGTATGCACAAATAAATAAATCTTTAAAAAAAAAAAAAACATTAAATACAAGATGTGTTAGTAGCGATTAGGCTACCTCCACAGAGAAGAGATGATGGCAAGTGTGGTGTAGCAGAATTAGACAAAAGTGCAGTTTTCAAAAACAAATAGGGCTGCAGAAAGGTTTAACCTGTGCTATGCCCTGGATGGGCGTCAGGACTTACTCTACCTTTCCTCCCCTGCAGCTCTCATCAGCTCCCGGTTCCAGGAAAATAAACCCAAGTGTCCTTACATATATTCATTTTTCCTTCTATAAACTCCTTCCACTGAGGACCAAGGCAAAGAGAATAAAATGGGACAGAACTAGAATCTTCTAGTTCTGGCCTCTCACTTGGACTGGTCAGTCCTGGAACTGGTCACTCTGGAAAATGCCAACTTCTAGCAAGGGACACAGGCCCAAGGACTCCATTTGACTGAGCCCAGGGCAACTGCTTCTCTGTGTGAAACTGCAAGAGGGTGATGGAGAGTTATTTCAAGGCTCTTCCCAGGCCGGCCAGTCCCCTGTTGGTGTGCCTGGCTGCCTTTGGCCATGTGCACTGTTTACTGTTCACCAAGTATGAGCAAGCGTCTGTGTTTTTCCTTCATGGCTGCAGTTTTTATTGCCCTTGTCTTGGCAGGAACTGGGACTGGATTGTTATTTACTAAAGTCTTCCTTGATGGGCGGTGTCTGATTCAAGGGGACTGTCTTTTTACATTTCTGTTGATTGTTGTTTGATTTTGTGTTTGTGCTCCTGGAGAGGGACCTCAGGTAAACTCCATGACTACACCTTCCCCTCACTGTAAAACTGGGGGGTTGGACCATGGCCATTGCAGTGTGATCCTAAACAGCAAGAAAATGAGTTAGAAGAACACAGCCATGAAGTTGTAAAGTTAGAGCTACTGCAGAAATTAGGTTGTTGAACAAAGAGTTACCTAGTTAGGTAAACAACGGAGGTGAATGTTGGACCTGACCTTTGGCCTCACACAAGGCAGATAATTTCTTCAAAGGACATCTTGCTTCTCCTTCCAGTTCCCTAGCCCAACGCTATATATAAATGGGTAGAAGTGAGAATATTCTATAAGGAAGGGTTGAAATTTTAGCTAGTGTAGCTTCTGCCCCCCCAGAAATCATAATGTGCCAGTGATCATGGGGAAAAGACCATATGAAACAAAGCTCAACCTAGTCTAATCTCCAGGCTTGGAGTGAGCTACCTTTTCTTCTTTATTCTGGATTTTCTTCTGTCTTCCTGAAGCAAGCTATCATAAACCACATGTCAAGGAAGTTTTAACCTGGTGGAACTTGAGAGATGACTTTGTTCAGTGCCCAACTTTCACACACAAGGAAACTACCCTGCACGATTCATTCCCTTCCTCAAAGTCATCTAGATGGCTGGTTGGGGTGAAGCCAGTGCCGTCTAACTTATTCCTGTAGGTTTCTCTTTTTCCATGCTATGTGTTAGCATCATTTTTTGCTGGAAGCTAAAGATTCCCTCTTTGGGGAGGCTAATTTTAATGTTGAAAGTGAGCTGCTTTCAACATTATTATAATGTTATATTATATGTTATAATGTTGAAAGTAAGACACTACTACTCAGTTAGTGTCTTATTAAAGCACTAATTTCTCTTTAACAGCATCTGTGGAGTACTTCTGTGACTACTTAAATCTGGGGTGGTCACCAAATTCTCACTCTTTGTAACACCCTGGAGTAGCCTTGTCTGTAAGTGATTAGTGCATCCATCAGGAATTTAGGGGATAAGGTGAGGTGCTAAAGATGGACCCAGCTATCCGGGGGAGGTCCGAACACACATTCTCTGGCATGTCATGGGCCAGTTGATGCCCACCTGTCACATTTGCTCCAGAACCACATGAGGTAGAAATCATGCCTCCCTCTCTCCCCCTTCTCCTGAAGTCTCCCCACATGCACAGTACCCACACTCTGCTCTTTTCATAAAAACTACCTGCTCTTGAAGGAAATGGAAAATTTGGGCAAAGAAGCTACAAAACTGAGACCTTGATAATTCAGTTTGGGAACTTTGGACATAAATAGAATGTGGTAAGGTTTTAGACTTGCTCTTTGGATGATTTAAAATTGGTCTACAGTGGACATGTTATAACAACAACTGCTATTTAGTACCCATGAGACAGTATGAGCATTATCCCAGTTGCACAGATGAGAAAAACTGAGGCAGAGGAACTGGTCTGTGATAGATACGTAAATAAATAATAAGCTGTTAACTCAGTCTACTGATAAACTTATTTAGTACAAACTTCCATCTTTCAGTTTTGTTGAGGATTCCATTCTCCTTGGGTTTCCTGAAAAGTAACTTTTTGAACTTTCTATTTTTTTATTTTAAATTTATTTATTTCTGCATATAGAACTGGAGTACAGGCCAGAGGTGCAGGGGCGGTGAGAGGCTTCATCAGAGACAGAATAGCGGGTAGAACAGACAGATCAACGAAGCACTCTGCTGAGGGGAGCAGCAGGCGGGTCAGGAGAGGTCTGCCACGCCATGTGGGTCACATCCGGGCTGGGATCGAGCTCATGCTGAAGTGGCTTCAGTTTCTTAGTGCTTTAACTTGTTGCGCCACCAGGGAGGGCCCTGAACTTTCTTATTTCAAGACCTGGGTGAACATGGTCACCAACAAAAATCGGATACAAAGAGAAGGTTAAGTTACTGCAAAAGAGTCAACTTAGAGAATGGTTCTGTTTGGATTAACATCTTTTTACATGATAGGAAATATAAACAAATCTTAACCAGTTTACCTTTCATTCCCATTCCTTATTTTTAACTGAAGTGTTGGTCCTTACATTGACTTAATTTTCCAAGCAACTTAAAATGACTAGAGTTACTTGAGTTTCTCTTGTCTTTTTCTTCCTGTATTAGATCTTCATGATAAACCTGAAGCGTAGAAAGGACAGACGGGACCGGATGTTACGTTCACTGTATGAGCAGGAGATTGAGGTCAAGATCGTGGAGGCTGTCGATGGAAAGTGAGTTTTTCTGGAAGCCTTGCAGACGTGGTTGGAGTGGGGATGCGTCCTCTCTGACTGAGCTTTGGCCCTAGGTGGGAAGAATCTGCCACCAATAGACATTTTAAAATAACCATCTACTTTACAGCAGCATTTAAATGAACTTCACACAGTAGAGCAGGCCTGAAATTCACTCACCATCCCCAATCGTCTGGTCTCTGTTTCCCTGAAGCTGCACACTGGAGTGATTTTCCCATCTCTGGTCTCCGGGGTTCTTCTGGGGTGGTGGTTTCCGGCTTCCTGTAGTGCACTGGAAAGAATGCACTCAGAGTTGTCTGCAGAGCCTGATTTAGAGCAGAGTGCCGAAACTTGGGTGACCTGAAGAAAGTAAATGGAAAAAGTGCTTAATAGTCTGCCCATCCTGCCATACAGCAGGCCCAGGCACATCACTTTTCCCAGGAACATGGCAGGAAATTCACACAGGGTGTATCCTTGGATTTCTTCCAGGTTGTACTTGCTTCTTCTTTTGTAGTTTTGCTTTGCTTTCCTTTGGTCTTTTATTTAACACTGTATTTCAAGGATACATATTTGCCAAACCTCCATTTCCATGTTATATATTCATTTGGAAGATGAATGCCTCTGAAGAGTATGGCATGAATCCATTGTGGACATTCTCAGAACTCCTTTAGAGAACTGCATTGGTATTTCTGAAGGTGTGACCTGGAACCCCACATCCTGGTTCCCAGGGACTGGGAAGAGAGCAGCTTCCTGAGCCCATCCCAAAGATGAAGAATCTTGGTCTCCAGGCTGAGGCTGGAAATCTACATTTAAGAATTCTCCACATGATGTCTTGGTCAGGTTCATGCTTAAGCTACAGGACAGTCGGTTGAATGTATCTCAAACATTGCACAGGACGTATTTATGCCAACAAGTTACTCATTGTTTATTTGAAATTTAAATTCGACTGAATATTGTTTTACTTGTTAAAGCTAACACCTGTATTTGTGAGTGCCCTAGAGCATGGGATCCTCTGATTCAGGTACCCCAAGAGTTTCCGTGCTGTTTACAGGCCACATACACCAGGGGAAACCAGTTGAGTTGTGAGAGTTTTTATATATTGTGGGTTCCTTGCTTAAGTACCTTATCAGATATACAAATTTACAAGTATTTTCCCCATTCTATGGGTTGTCTCTTCACAGTGGTGTCCACTAACTGAAAATATGAAAGATTTTAATTTTGTTGTAGTCCAATTTATTTTGTTGTTGCACGTGTTGCACGTCATATCTCAGAATCTGAGTCAAACCTCAAACTTACTCCATGTCTTACTCCATGTTTCATCTAAGAATTTAATTGTTTTACTTTGTAGATCTATGTAATATATACAAATATATATAGACATGTGTCTTAGATTTACATATAGAGAGGAAGATCTTAGAAATATGTATACAGACACATAGCTATATCTATATATAAATAGGGATATCTTACACACTAGATCCATTTTCATTTAGCATATTGGCCAGCTAATGATTAAAAAGAAAATCCTTAACTGTCTGTAACTAGGACATCTCCCAGTCTCAGCTGAGAGGCTCTGTATGCTTACAGTAAGGTTATGTTTTCACTGTTTTTTTTTTAAGATTTATTTATTTATGCATACAAGAACAAGGTACAGGCCAGAGGTGCAGGAGATGAGAGGATTCACCAGAGACAGAGTGGTGAGCAGAACAGGCAAATGTACTGAAATACACTGCTGAGGGGTGCAGCGGGTGGGTCAAGAGAGGTCTGCCTCGCCGTGTGGGTCACCTCCCTGGCCTGGAATTGAATTCATGTTGTAGTAGCTGCAGATTGCTTCAAAGTGCTGCACTGTAACCCATTGTACCACCAGGGAGGGCCCCTTTTCAGTGTTCTGACAGGCAGTTTATAACACTGCCTTAGCCTGTACTGTTTTCCCAGATCATCAAGGCAATTAGAGATGAGATGTTGGGGCTCCTTCAGGTCTTTCCTGGACAGAAGCAAAGCCCTACATTGCACAAGGCCTTCTAGATTGTCAGGAATGTCAGAGATTTTCAGAACCTCTGGGGGCCTCTTTTTCCTTTTAATTTTTTGGTCAACTCAACTCAACTGATCATGCTGCCTCAGGCAGCTATGATATTAAACAGTTAGTGCTGATGGGTTTTGACAAATGCCCTGCAGATAGAACATTCACACATAATGAATTCACAAGTCAAATAAAGACAAGTTCTGAGAATGGAGTGTATTAGGAAACTTCCAGATAGGTTGAATAGTGACTAAAGATAGGGCTTCTATTCAGTCCCACCCACACCTGCTGGGGCACTAGTTTTCACGGTTGCATAGGTGAAAGACTATTGGTTTGTAAGATTTCTGCAGAACTGGGAGAGAAGGACCGGACTAGGACAGGTAAAAATGCTACAAAGCTCTCTATATTTTCAGATCTTAAGTATATTTTATTCAATAAAAATGCCTTGGATTATTGCAAGTATTTAGTTGATAGCTACAATTCTGAAAAAGTTGATCTTGATGATTTATTTTTATCTTCATTAATTTTATAGAGTTGATTTTCAGAGGTCCTTACTCTACTGTTCTGGAAATGCTTCTCTAAAAATTTTTGGTTTTAATCTTTAAAAATAAATTTACATTCAAAGGAAATACATATATGTATACAATTCCTTCCCTTAGTTCTTCCTGTATTCAGTGCTCCTTTGCTCTTTATCATTAGGAGACAACAAAAGGCTGATGATACTTAGAACTAGCTGGGTTTACACAAAAATCTAAGATACCCTCTTGTCTTCACAAAGGTCATGGTGCTACCCTAGGTAGTTGCTAAGGAATACGGTCACCCTGAAGATGAGTCTTCAGCATGTATAAAGGTCCTGGAGTGGACCCACCCTGTGGTGCAAAGGGTTAAAGTGCAGCACTGTGAAGCTATCAGTAGCCACTAAGATACGAGTTCAATTTCAGGCCAGGGAGGTGACCCATATGGTGAGGCAGACCTCTCCTAATCCGCCCGCTGCTCCCCTCAGCAGTGTGTTTCACTTGGACTGCCTGTTCTGCTCCCCACTCTATCTCTGGTGAATTCTCTCACTACCCCTGCACTGCTGGTCTGTACCCCAGTTATGTATGCATAAATGAACAAGGACTCGTTCTGTATTCTATGGTGGGGTCACTGTGGTTTGTTAGTTCTCAGACACCTTCTCTGCCATGTAGGGCACTCAACACAAGCCAGCTGAAGGCCCTGAATATTGAAATGCTGCCTGGGTATCGAGACCCCTACTCCTCCAGGCCTCTAACCAGGGGTGAAATCGGCTGCTTTCTCAGCCACTACTCTGTTTGGAAAGAGGTGAGTCATGCTGTATGTAGATGTGCAGTTTTAAAGGAGAAAGGAGAGGGATATCTGTAGGTGTATCAGAGCCACGTGTTATGTGAGCCCACAGCTGTTCTGGAAGCATGCTTGGGGGTGGCTGTTCACTCATGTTTCCCGCTAACATGAAGCCAGCGACACGCAAGGAGGGACAGCTTAGTGCCTCTTGGCATGGTGGCCGGTGGTCACACTCCTGTCACTGCAGCCTCATCCTTAGTGTGCAACTGCAAACCTTGCATGGATCTAGCCTGTCTGCTCTCATCAAGTGATCTCATATAAATCACACAGCTCTCATGTGAGGTGAGTTGAGGGGATGGACCCATTTTACCTAAAAGAAAATGATTAGTGGTTTGTCCAGACAAGGAGAAGCAGCGGGCCAGGACTTGAAAATGTGTCTTGTGACAGATGAAGATATTGGTGGGGGCAGTATTGGAGGATGGGGTTCTTGATGAAGATTCCTGCTTTTCTTCCCTTTAAACTTGAAATATAACAAAAGTATGTGAAAAATGTAGCTCACTGGGCCTCGGTAGCTCACCATGATTGTATAGTGGTTAGTACTCTGCGTTGTGGCAGCAGCAACCTCGGTTCGAAAAATGTAGACCATATGTTTCACAACAATGAAATTCAACAGATTGAATAGGACACCTGTATTAACGGCACCAAGATCAAGAAATGAGTTACCAATTTGGAAGCTGGTACCCCTCAGTGCTGCCTTCTAGTTATCAGTCCTCCAGGGAGGTCACCATCCTGACTTCTAATAGCTTTGCCTACTTGTATGCTCTTTAAGTGAATGGAAGTACATAGAGTGCCTCCTCACTCTACTGTGGGGTTCACCCATGACGCTGTACTTAAATTAACATGCACTCTCATCATGACCAGCACTCGGCATTTATTGATCCCTTCTACTGTGGGTGGCATTGGCTTTGACTCCAGGAAAGCTTGCCTATTGTGCCACTGTGTTCTTGAATTTTTAATTTATGTATCTAATAAAAAATGAGTATGAACTTTTCATCAGGTGTCTTTCCCATGATGAACCTTACAGGTGATTGACAGAGAGCTAGAGAAGACTTTGGTCATCGAGGACGATGTGCGTTTTGAGCATCAGTTTAAGAAGAAACTGATGAGGCTGATGGATGACATCGACCGAGCTCAACTGGATTGGGAGCTGATGTGAGTGACAGACTGACTTCTTGGGGAGTACTGGAAGGCACAGGTCCTTTCCAAGGGGCAGTAGATTACCAGCACCTGAGAGCAGTGCCCCTTGGCACTTCCGTCTAGTTAACAGTCCTCCAGGGGAATCACCAGGCCAGCTTCCACTGACCTGTTTTTTTCTCCAGAAATGGTCCCAGAAACAAGAAGTGCATGGAGGATGGCCACAGCTTTTTATACCTCTGTCTTCTTCAGGGTGAGACCTGGAGTCCACCTGCAGATCAGAGGCCTACAGGCAGAGCAAATATGTGATACTAAGCACTCACCTGGGAGCCACAGCAGAAATCCTACCCATGAAGCCATGTGGCACATGGAGGGGTGTGAAGAGGAGGCCCGAAGCTGAGTCAAACTGAGCCACCCACCACTCCTCGGAAGGCAGCGCTCTTTGCAGCCTCTGATGACATGAGGGGTTGGGAGCTCAGGTTGCCCAAACAGAAAAAATAATGAGTGGGTCAGTGGAGGCCGTCACAGGAAATCCAAGCTCCCCAAGGGAATGCTGGCTCTGAACTGATATTTACTTCTTGCTCCTTGTCTGCTGCCTCGGGTACTGAGCTGTCTGTCTTTCTGTTTGTCTCTTTCTCCCCTCCCTCACCAAAATAACACTTTGTTCTTCCCTCTAAGGAGGCAGGAAGTACCCACGCCTTATGTTTGCTCCCCAGCCATGTGTCAGGACGATTCCATCCGATGAGAGCTTGTTGCTTCCAAGCGCAGCAGCCAGGCGGCCCTCCTCCTCCACCCTGAGGCACGCTGATCTAGGCGCCTGGCTAGAACGCACCCTGTCTTGAAAATGTACCACTCCGAGATCAAAAGAAACCTAGTGATGGCTCAGCAAACCCCTGGGCAGCAGACCCAGAGCTCAGTAATGAGAGAGCTCCCCGCTGAAGCGGTGCTGTGGCTCTGTTCTGTGCTGGCCCTCAAGTGCTGCACTTCTTCTCCCCCTTTGGGAGGCCCCAAACCTAGCCTCCATGACTCTGTAGCTCTGCACCTGTGGTTAAGGCCTCATAAGGCGCCTTATAAGGTCATAGAAGCTCATAAGAGCTCCTTATGGTCACCTGGCATGTGCCAGCGCAACGTCACTGCAGCTTCCAAATCCCAGAGGACTTGATGCTGCAGCCTCTCAGGCTCGGAGTTGCACACATCCCTACTGACTTGTGATTTGAAGGGTGTATTTCTCAGCAGAAAGTACCAACAGATCCCAGAAAGAAGAAAAGCTTTCCTGATAAAGAGGAAAAAAAAATGTTTCCTAAGTTTCACAGACTGATCAAGTCACAATTTTCTATTGGAATCCATTTTAGTCTTGAGTCACATAACAGCAGGGATAGGTCCTGTCACTGAGAAAAGCACCATGGGGCAGATTCATTGCTGTGAAAATGTGATCCTGTGTAATTACAGAAACCTAAATGTGTTGCCTATTACACACCCAGGCTATATGGTGTAATCCTGCTGGGACCACCATCATCCAGGTGGCCAGTGATTGGCCAAGACTTCAAGGGGTGTATGAATGCATAATCTTTTTTAAAAAAGATTTATTTATGCATGCATGCAAGAACTGGGGTGCAGGTCAAAGGTTGAGGGGGGATGGGTGAGAGGATTCCCCAGAGTAGGAGTGGGGAGCAGAACATGCAGATCTACTGAAATACACTGCTGAGGGGAGCAGCAGGCAGGTCAGGAGAGGTCTGCTATGCCATGTGGGTCAGCCCCTTGGCTGGGGATCGAACTTGCTGCAGTAGCTGCGGAGAACTTCATAGTGCTACAGCTTCACCCCTTGCACCACCAGGGAGGCTCCTGTGTATCTTTAAGCATTACAGTGGTCTCAAGTTTTTCACTTCTCACTTTCCAAAATGAAAAAGGAACAAATGTCACTTATACCCAAAACAGAAAGCTGTCCATGGTTGCTATATTAAATTTCTCCAGAAAAGAAATAGTAAACGGGAAAAAAAGAACAAGACCTTGGCATCTTCTAGGAGAGTGTTGACTGTCTAACAGAAATACAATGCAAGTCATGTATGTCATCTAAAGTTTTCTAGTCATCACATTAAAAAGGGAATTACTTAGGTGGAAGTAACTCTAACAAGGCATGTGTCTACCCCAAACTCTTCAAATCTTACTTTAACATGTGATCAATACTTTAAAACTAACAAAAAATGCCTACTTTCTTTTTTTAATTTTTGCATCATTTTCAAAATCCACTATATATTTGGCACAGGTGCCAAATTTTCCACTGCTGGAGTAAACAGTAGTACTAGCAGAACGATTTTCTACTGAACAGAAAAATATGTTCCACGTTTTCAATTTTAAATTTAAATTAAGTGAAATTAATAAAGTGAGTACGAACTCTGTTCTTAAGTGGCCCTAGCCACATCTCAAGTGTTCTGGAGGAATCTCTCTTTCACTTGATAGTCCGGGGGAGGAAGTTGCTTTTTTGCCTGAAGAGACCAAGGCTCAGAGGACGTGTGTGATGAGCTGAGCTGAGCTGAAGGCAGCTATCAACCTGTTCTACAAGCCTGCAGTGCTTTGGAAAAGGGAAGCCTAGACTGTTGAAAAAGGTCAATTTTTTAGGGCAAAAGAGAGGAAGTCAGCCTTCCCTGATGGGCCAGAAGGAGCATCCCTCCTTCTCTAGGCTGGCAGGAACAACCTGTTTCATCTGAAACACGTTCCAGATGAAAGTAATGGATCCCAGGTCTGCTCGATCGCAGTTTAGGGGGCGGCGGGGATGGCCCTGGTACGTCTGTGCTGCAGATGTCCACAGAGGCCTGGACAGCCTGGCCCTTTTGTCCCAGAGAGCCCAGGAGGAAGTGGGCGGAGGGAGGCAAGAGTGCAGGAGGGAGACTCGCAGGCCGCTCCTGGCCAGACTTGCTTTCCCACAGCCTCACTGCCCTGTGCTTCCCACCAGCGTTTGCCGACTGGTGCAGAAAGCATCGAAGGTTGAACTCTGGAGACTTGGAAACAACAAACTCAGGATTTCACATCGGGACGTTTTTGTCCCTTCCACATCTGTAAACACAGCTGGGACTTCCTTCCCCGACCGTCTTTGAGAAAGGATGATCTAAGCTCACAGATAGCTCTCTGACGCTCCGCTAGGCGGGAGTAGTGGGGGTGCTGATTCAGAGAGCCAGGCTGATGGCCCTGGTGCTGAGGAACGTGTGGGAGTATATGTGATGCACCTGGTGGCTGAGCCGTGTATCAAGAGACTTAGTCGAGGTTTTCTAACGTGTCTGTGTAAACCAAAGCGATGTTGTGCTTATTGATATTTAGTGTTCAAATTGACTTTTTGCTGCCCATTTCCTTTCAGTTACATCGGTAGGAAGAGGATGCAAGTAACAGAACCAGAGAAAGCTGTGCCCGACGTGATGAATCTGGTGGAAGCTGACTATTCCTACTGGACACTGGGCTACGTCATCTCTCTGGAAGGAGCACAGAAGCTGGTTGGAGCCGATCCTTTCGGGAAGATGCTGCCAGTGGATGAGTTTCTGCCAATCATGTACAACAAGCATCCTGTGTGAGTCACTTGGAACCTCCTGTCTGTTCCGTGGGCACAGCCTGTTCGTGAATTATGCCACCCAGTCCTTGATGTTTCCTAAGGAGTCCTGCTTTTCTGCATGATCTTTCCATAATCATGGCTCAACAAGGCCGACCCAAGTGATGCACCCCCCCCTTTTTTTAATAAGATTTATTTATTTATTATTCATTCAAAACTGGGGCATAGGCCAGAGGCACAGGGGCGGTGAGAAGATTCACCAGAGACAGAGCGGGGAGCAGAACAGGCCGACTGACAAAGTACACTGCTGAGGGGAGCAGTGGGCGAGACAGGAGAGGTCTGCCATGCCCTGTGGGTCACCACCGGGGAGGGGATCCAGCTCGCACTGAAGCGGCTGCAGCTAGCTTGTAGTGCTGCACTTTAACCCATTGCGCCACCAGGAAGGGCCCATGATAGTTCAATTAAAATAATAATAATAGTTGCCCTGTCCCGTGAGCACCCATCCTTCATAGCTGTGCACCTCTTGTTTCAGAGCTGAGTACAAGGAGCACTACGCGTCCAGAGACCTGAAAGCCTTCTCCGCAGAGCCCTTGCTCATCTACCCCACACACTACACCGGCCAGCCGGGGTACCTGAGCGACACGGAGACCTCCACCATCTGGGACAATGAGACAGTGGCCACTGACTGGGACAGGACACACTCGTGGAAGTCCCGGAAACAAAGCCACATCCATAGCAACGCCAAGAACACAGAGGCCCTGCCCCCACCCACCTCCCTGGACACGGGGCCATCACGGGATGAGCTCTGAGGGCTGCGGGCTTCACAGCCTCCAGCTTCTCTCACGGGCTGTTCATCTGTGGCCGGTTGCTCTCCGTGGCCACAGCCCTCTCCCCAAGGCTGTCTAATGGGACTGACCAAGATTAATACATTCTGATTGGGGAAGAAAGTAGGGAAAAGAAACTCGACATTCCTAGGATGGCTAGAAGAAGGGCTTTCTGGCAACATGAGATACACTTCAGTCCAGATACCTAGCTGGGTGACAAATAGGATATGCTGCCCATGTTAGGGGTCAACATTATGGCTCAAACTTGCCGAGGATGCTGCCACATCAGTAAATGGTGGGCCAGGCAACCGGCCAACCGATCCCCACTGTTGGTCTGTTGGGCCCATGGTCTGTCTGAGACGTGCCCATGTTGACCAGCTTTTTTTTGGGGGGTGGGGGGTAAATCAAACTGTTTAATATCCAATTAGTTGGGCTTTTCATTTAAAGGAATTCTATCTTGAGCCTTATTGCAAACAAAGGGTTTTTTTCATCTCGGTCCTCATTAGCCTACAGGCATGGGTGTTTGGGTCTGCTGAGGCTTGGCCTTGACTACTACCATGGCCATTCCAGCTCTGTAAGGAAAGGTCCAGATTGCCATATGGGTGCAGTTAGTAGAGCCTTTAGGGTTTGTGTAGATATATGAGGACAAAGCTGAAACTCTGGCCATTTTCACTGTGGCCTCTTGAGTTAGGATGCTCTATTTATAAAAATAAGTTAATATATTAGGGGATGAGCTGGTGTGTGAACACTGTCTTGGATCCCTGTGCTGCCAGCAAGCGTCTGATCCCCCACCCGACCACCCGACCCTCCACCCCCATCCCAACCCCAGCTCCAATTGCAGGTGTGAGTTTTATGAGTCACAGTTGAGAGGCAGAACACACTTGCAGGCCAGCAACTGTCCTTGCCTGGGCCTTTCATTCTATTTTGATTTATTTATTTCAAATTGTGGGGAAAACGGAGAAGGCAGAAAAACACCAGGCCTTATGACCTCACCATGCCTGGAGAAGGGTCAGCAGAGACATGTTGGTTCAATATTCAGGTTCTCTGGAGTTTCCCAGCTTGACACTTGTGGGAGGCCTGTTGAGTGGGAGATTCTAACCACCTGGAAACAATGACACTCATTTCAGATGCGTGCCCTTGTCAGGAGCAGTGGCCACCAGCTGATTCTGATCAACAACCGGAAACGATCTGGTTTGTGTTCTCACACCTGTGAGTAGTAAAACTGTCTCCAGAAATGTCCTCCCCGAATGTCTGACCCATATACTCCCTCTGTGTCCTCAGTGTTGGCTCCACAGGCCCAACAACAACCTGAGCTTCAGGCTTTGGAGCTGGACCCAGGGGCAGGTTGCTGTTGGCACCCTGGGCCACTGGCCTTCCCTGTACCTCAGCCTCCCCTTCCTGGACTTAGTGTTGAGGTTCTTCCCCAGCGACTTACAAGCCATTAGACTGAGAAGAGGGATCTTTGTAGACCTAGCTGTCAGAGTTTGACTCTTTCTAGAAAAACAGAATGAATATCTGAATGTGGAGCTAGTAAAAATCCCTTAGGTGATTCCTAAGCTTCCCTTGGGAACTTGTATTTTGTCTGCATATTTGAGTGTGTGCAAGTGTGTGTGGCCTTCATGATATTTTTCAGGGGTGGGAGGTGGTGGGAGTTTGGGGTGGAAGAAGACTGAGTTGATTTCTGTGTGGGTTTGTTTAATAGAGAACTTTTTTTTTTTCCTTTTCCCCTGTCAGCCGGTCTGATGGGTTTATGAATTCTCATTCTTAAAAGTTGTTGGTCTTAGATTCTAGAATTTTCGACGAGGACTGTTCTACTGTGAATAGAGTTCTGGCTATGTCAGCCCGGCCTCGGCTCCTCCCTGCTGGACTGGAATGCCAAGCCATGCTCTTGGGTTGTGAACGTTGTGAACTGCAGGCCTGCCTTCCTTTATAAAAGCCATCTTTCAGCAAGCCTGGGGTCCTTGACCTCATTATTCTTCTGCCTCCTGTGTAGTCTTATGACATTTGACCCATGCAGGATGCAAGACTTTGCCTCCAGCCTTGGTCTCTGCCTCTGGAAGTTGAACCCCATCAGGATTCCCCATCCAGGTGCTGTCTGGATCTTGAGGTCACAGGCGGGCTCTCTGGACAGATGACGCCAACTTCGGTAGTGCCAGTGCGCATGTGGAGGGAGAACCTACGCTTTGCACAGGCCTCATTTCAATGCCTTGGGCCCTGCTGCAGGAACTCTGAAGACTAGAAAGAGCCGGCGCCCTGCACCCTGCTTCCTCTGTCATGCTGTGTCCTTCAGGGTGGGGAAGTGATAAACTACTTGCCTTCCACAGCTTTGTGTGAAAATTAAAACAAACAAAAAAAAAAAAAGAGAGAGAGAGAGACGCTCAACTCTGTGGTTGTTCACTTGTTCTTCCAACACTGCTATGGTTTCCGGGTCCATCCAAGACCAGGGTATCAGTGACCAGAGATGACCACCATGGCGTAGGATCCTGGTTACTTTAGACTACAGGGTGGAGGCCGGGGAGCAGAAGAGGACTCTGAGCTACAGAAAGACAGAATTCCCCAGTGGGAGGAGGTGGGGAAGGGCCCATCTTGCATTTATATCATGTGCGCCAGTCTGTCCATTCAGCAGAAGATACTGACAGGCCTGGAAGGGGGTTGGGGGAGGGGGGGAAGAAGAAGGGGGAGAGAGAGAGAGAGAGAGAGAGAGAGAGACTCCACTGGTTTAATGAACCCTTTGAATTGTAGCTCAAGTTTTTCCCAAACTTCAAAAGCCACAGTGTCAGCTCTGCCTTGTTTCAGGCCCTGTGTAGGCACTGGAGGCTCTAAGGACCTAAAAGTGCTGCTGTTGTGACTGTGGCCAGATGGCTTTACCTGAGATAGGTGAACTAGGCAGCAACCCCCAGAGGACCTAGGTCAGCACAGGTGGCCTGTTGGGGTGGCTTCCTGGGAAGGCGACATGTTGGTATTGGAGCCTGGGTGTGAACGCTTTCTGCTCAAGTGTGGGACTGTGAAAGGGCCTGTTGGGGTGACAGTGGTGACCCAGCAGGACTGAGAGTCAGATCTGTGTTGGAATGGCTGACCGGAAAAAAACATCAGGAATGGTGGCAAGGGTAGGGGCTCTCTCTCCTAGTGGCAGAAGACATTGTTTCTGGGGGATTCTAGAGTAGGTTCTTCTCACAAGATATGGTACAGAGTTTCCCAATAAAACATTGGTGTCTACCTGCACCCCCATGTTTATTGCTGCTTTATTTACAATTGGAAAGACATGGAAACAACCCAAATGCCCAAAAGTAGATGACTGGATTAAAAA